CCGAGGCCCGGGGGTTGGGGACCGCTGATTAAGAGGACAGGCTGCAAACAGAGAGCTGCTACTTTCAGTCCTCAACAGTTTTATTCATGTTTGTCAGAGCTCTGCTTCTTCTCTGTGCTGTAAACAAAAACTAGATCTGCACGTTGCTTTTCTTCTGCGCTCCTGCTCTCTTCTCCTTCTCTGCTTTACTGACTGTTACGTCTGTTACTGTGATTGAGATTTGCCAATGAAGATGTCAGCCCTGACTGGAGCTATAACAGTAATATGGGCCATAAAGTCCCAGATAGTCTGACTACAGTGAACGAAATAAAGTTTTCATTAAATACCCTGTGAAATAGTTTAGTCCTCGTGCTGTCTCACACTCTCTCTCTCTCACACACACACACACACACACACACACACACACACACACATCTAATTGACGTCGTGCTTACAACCATCAGAAGTGAAACTAAAACAAATATACTGAGATAATTTAAATTTAACACTAAATATGATTCAAAACATTTTTGCTTTTGTCTGTAATTTTTTGACATTTTATTTATCAATAAATAAATAAATAACACTGCCAAATCACTACAACAGTTGCCTGAAGGCAGCTTATATTGTGAGGTAAAGACGACAATACAACAGCACAGAGGAGAAACCCCAACGATCGGATCTGCACTGTGGGAAGTTTTAACAGGAATCACAGCGTCTGTCTCCTGAGTCTGAGGGAGCTGAAGGCTCTGCCTCTCACTGCACTTTTAGACGCCATAGGTGCTGCAAGTAAACCAGCAGCCTGACAGTACCGTGCTCTGCTGGGATAACACACTTCTATGATAAGGGTTTTTGTTGGGGCATAATCTGCTCTCTCTTTCTAGTCCCTGTCAGGACTCTTGCTGCAGCATTTTGGATTAACTGAAGGCTTTTCAGGGAGTTTTTAGGACTTCCTGATAATAATGAATTACAGTTGTCACTCTGAGACAGGATATTTCTAACTTTAGAGACAGATATGCAGACTGAAGGACAAACATGGAGGCCAAAGTACGACCCTGCAGAGTAAGAATCTGGATAGATGCTGCGTTTCTACGGTTTTGAAGGCCGAGTACAAGAACCTGTGTTTTATCTGAGTGTAGAGCAGGGGTGGCTCAGAGGCCACACTGACTTTTAAAATCTGACGGGCCAGCACAGATGCATGCATATCAAACATAAACATTAAGATCACACTTTTTAGTTAGTTTTGTTGTGGCAAGAACAGATGTAAGGTGTTCATCACTCAGCTGGGATCTGTGGGCGCTGCTTTGTCTGTTCACACATACGTGGAGCCAAACAACAGCATCCTCTGTGACATCATCTGGATGCTTGGTCCCCTCACTCTAATAAAGTGCATTTTACAACTGCATCTTCGCTGCGTGATCGAGGTGCAGCACAGACGCACAGAGTGTAAAAAAACCTGCCCTGGAGTCTTTTGAGCAACCCGACTTTTGTTCCAGTCAGATTTGGCGATCCATCTGTGGTGGCCTGACAAGTGTACGCCGAGGTAGCTTGACCTCTTGATGACCTCTGCCGCGTGTCATACAAGTCCTCTCTCACGTTTTCCTCTTCATGGATTGCATGGCCAAAAACTCCTGTTATCTTAAAACTGTCATTAATCCCTCTGATACAAATTAAAAGCTGAGCGGAGTCCTTACACAACTAACCTATAATCACATGACAAAACAATCACCACCACGGTACATACATTTGTTTACTACATAATTAAAACTAACTTGCAGATTTATCCTAAATATTGTTCAGAGTTATGAATCTGATCATTTCTCGTGTAAAACACTGAATATGAAGCCAACAAAATTCATTCATTGTAAAAAGTCATCTGGGCTCCTGCACCCGACCAACCCCCAGTTTGATAAGTCCTCTGTTCAT